AAAAAAAAAAAAAAAGCTGTCCTGTTGCTGTGATTGGCAGTGAGTCAATGTTGCCTGAACATCTTGAAGGCCTGGGCCCTGCCCCTCCAGCGGTTTCCTAATTGGAGACTTCTCTTCACCCTCAGAGTCAATAGCCTTCTCTCCCCAGGCTGACCCCTTCCCTGGCTTGGCAGTGCCAGTACCACAAGCTAAGGGAGGAAAAGGGGCAAAATGCTATGGTGCCACGTCTTCCAGGATCCAGTACAACTGGGCATCCCAAGGCTGTGCAGACAGCAGCCTCTCCCCCAATGCCTGTGGAAAGTTGCTGCCTGCGGAAAGTTGCTGCCTGCCTAGCCCCGCTCCCTCCTCCCTCCTCCCTCTCAGGACTCACCAATCTGGTCGTTGCCATTGCAGGAGGCAAAGTGTAGAGCTGTGCGGCCCTTGTCGTCAGCTGCACAGGGATCTGCACCATCTTCCAGCAGCTGCTGCACTGACACCACCAAGACAGAGGGAGGAAGGGGAGAAAGCAATGTTAGCTAAACTGCAGGGATTGGGGAAGCTCAGGGGTCCCCTGGACAACACATCACAATGCATGGAAAGTAACCTCTCCTGGATGCTGGCCCCCTGGAGTCAACCATGGCAAGGGTCTTGTTCTCCTGAGGGCGCAACAGAGTGCAACGGATTCTGGGTGCTCCAACAACACATCTAGGGATAGAATGTTGTGGGAGACTCTTGGCCCCCAGGGCCAGGAATTCTAGGGACAGAGAAATCCCCAGCATAGACTTTGGCCCCATCCCCTCTACCTCTGCCTGGACACATGTCCATTCTGGCTGGACACTGCTGCCCAAGCTATTAGCTGATGTTACTTTGCTTGCAGCAGGCAGCCTTCTAGAATGAAGAGAGCACAGGTTCTGGGGGCACACAGATGAAGCCCCAGGCTAGACTAAGTAAACGAGAAAGGAGGCCAGGGCTGTTCCCCCTACCCCACACCTTGGGGTAGAGTCACAGATCCTGACTCAGAGGGCAACCTACATTCAACCCTGCCACAGACAGCAAACCAGCACCCCAAGATCCTGGGTTTGCAAGACCCTGAGACCAGCATCCTGGCCCCATAGCCACTCCAAGCACCTGCACCCAGACCCAGCACTGCTGCAGCTGCTTGGAGGCTATGTTAGACCAGATATAAACAGGGATTTCCTTGGCTAAGTCTCTCCATTATGGGAAAAACAAAAATAGAACTCCAAGAGCCCTTGGCGCTAAGGATATTAACAACCTACACTGCCACTACCATTGCCGCAAACTTCTACAGCCCAGGCCACCAAGGCACCCACAGTTATTGCTGATGTTGAACGCAGCTGAAGAAGCTATATGAGACTATTCCACTGCACCCATCGAGAAGCCTGTCACCTCCCCCTTCCCAACTGGTACATTAAAATCCAACTACAGGGCAGGCGTGGTGGTTCACACCTGTAATCCCAGCAGTTTGGGAGTCTGAGGTGTGAGGAGCACTTGAGTTCACGAGTTTGAGACTAGCTTGAGCAACACAGTGAGATGCCATCTCTATTAAAAAAAAAAAAACAAAAAACCCTCAATTGAAAAAAAACCCTTGGAGCAGTATGAAGAAGAAGAGGTAAGAACGACCCCCGGACCAACCAAAGCCCGCATGCCGCTCCATCCCTGCGTCCAACACCTTATTTCCACTGCCATCACCACCATGCCCAAGAGAAAGGCTGAAGGGGATGCTAAAGGAGATAAAGCCAAGGTGAAGGACGAACCCGAGAAGATCTGCAAGGTTGTCTGCTAAACCTGCTCCTCCAAAGCCAGAGCCCAAGCCTAAGAAGGCCCCAGCTAAGAAGGGAGAGAAGGTATCCAAAGGGAAAAAGAGAAAAGCTGATGCTGGCAAGGAGGGGAATAACTCTGCAGAAAATGGAGATGCTAAAACAGACCAGGCACAGAAAGCTGAAGGTGCTAGAGATGCCAAGTGAAGAGTGTGCATTTTTGATAACTGCGTACTTCTGGTGACTGTACAGTTTGAAATACTATTTTTATTCAAGTTTTATAAGAATGCAGAATTTTATGTTTTTTTGTTTTTTTAAGCTATGTTATTAGCACACAGAACACTTCATTGTTGTTTTTTGGGAAAGGGACATATGTCACTAATAGAATGTCTCCAAAGCTGAATTGATGTGGGGAAAACACCTTTCCCTTCTAGTTTTAAGAGACTTCTTCTTGGCTTCCAGGAGGAGGGACTCCCCGACGTTGACACACATAGCCACCTTGGTACAAATACCTTGTGGTGTGGAAAAACATTCATTTTTTATGCCCTCTTTTTCCTTTCTGCCTTCAGCATAGACTTAACTCCCTTAAACCCAGACATCTGTTGGGACCTGACCCCCAATAATTGGTTACCAGTATGTCAGTGATACCACTGAGATGGCACCCCTCATAAGAGCAGCAGTTTTCGTTCATAGATGGTGGATCTTCAGACAAATTCTGCCATTTTCATTTCATTTCCTGAAAGTCAGGGTCGGCTTGTAAAAAGTTGTCAAACAACATGCTAAATGTGAAATGTCAACCCTCACTCTAAACTTCTTCCCTGTTCAGAGCATCAAATGAAGACTTCATTGGGTTTTTATAGTGGCTTTCTGATTTTGGTAGTCCATTAAAGAAGGGGGTTTGAAAGTTTTTGTATACTGTTAAAGATTGTCTGCCCATGTCCTGCCTGAAATACCATGATTGTTTATGAAAAGTATCTTTAATAAAGCTGGATAGTTTGGAGAAAAAAAAGAAAAAAACCCTCTATGAAAGACACACTAGGAAGTCTAGAAGAAGGGCTTCTTCCACCAGACACGCAAACATCAACGCAGGGACCCAAGAAGCATGAAAAAGCAAGGAAATATGACACCCCCAAAGGAACACAATAGCTCTCTAGAAACAGACCCCATTCAAAAGGAAATCAACAGCCAGGAAAGGGATTCAAATAATAATCTTAAGGAAACTCAGTGAGATATAAGAACATATAGATAAGACAATTCAATGAAATCAGGAAAACTATTCATGATATAAATGAGAAATTCAACAAAGATAGAAGCAACAGAAATCCTACAGCTGAAGAAGTCAATGAATAGGTTGGGCTCGGTGGCTCAGCCCGTAATCCCAGCAATTTGGGAGGCTGAGGCAAGTGGATTGCCTGAGCCCACAGGTTTGAGACCAGCCCGGGCAAATTGGCAAGACCTTGTCTCTACAATAAATAAGAAGTTAGCCAGGTGTGGTAGTGTGTGCCTATAGTTCCAGCTACTTGGAAGGCTCAGGATGAAGGATCGCTGGAGCCCAGCAGGTTGATGCTGGGGTGGCCATTAGTGTGCCACTGCACTCCAACCTGGGCAACAGAGTTGAGACTCCAACTCAAAAAAAAAAGTCAATGAATAAAATTAAAAATATAATAGAGAGCTTCAACAGTGGACTTGATCATGCAAAAGAACATATCTTTGAACTTGAAGATAGATCTCTTGAAATACACAGAGAAAAAAATAAGAATGAGAAAGGATGCCAACAGCATGGAGCAGTGGCAAGAGGTGGGAAGGGAGTGGGAAGGCCTGGATCTGAGCCCAGTTCACCAGCAAATGGAAATAATCTCTGCCCTAATAATTTCCAGAGCTGCCGTGATGAAAATAATGGATATGAAATTCCTTCTTTGAAAAGTAGGAAAGCACTCTAAATGTGAGGCATTATGTACCAACGTATATGTCCAGCTGAAATGTGGAAATTGCTGCCAAACAGCATTTTAGAGCAAAAACATTTTCATCTCTTCTCCCCAGCAAACCTTTCAAGGACTTGAGTCCTTCGAAATGAAGTCCAGATAGCTTCCCCTCTAGGAATCTTTCCTGTCTGCTCAACTGAGTCAGCCCCTCCCTCTTTTGTACTTCTTTAATGCCCTGTTCATTTTGTTACTCCAATAGTAACACCTTGTGCTATTTTATTTTTTAGAGATGAGGTCTTGTTCTGCCATCCAGGCTGGAGGTGCAGTGGTATGATCACGGCTCATTGTAGTGTTGAACTCCTGGGCTCAAGTGACCCTCTCATCTCAGCCTCCAGAGCAACTGGGACTATAGGTGCACTGCCACCATGCCTAGCTAATTTTTCTTTTTCTTTTCTTTTTTTAAAGACAGGGATTCACTATGTTGCCCAGGCTGGTCTCAAACTCCTTGCTTCAATCCTCTCACTTAGGCCTCCCAAAGTGCTGGGATTGCGGATTGCAGGCATGAGCCACTGCACCTGGCCCTTGTGCTACTTGAAAGTAGTTGTTACTGTATACTAAGCAACAGCCAGGCATCAAGTCCTGACTGCTAAGCCCCTCAATGACCCAGCAAGGTATAATGTCCATATTACAGACCAAGAGACTCAGGTTCAGAGAAATTATAAAGGACCCAATCTCTATCCACAAAGGTAACAGGTGAATCACCCAGATAAGAGGCAAAGCCAGAATGAAAAACCAAAAGAACAACAACAACAAAAAGGTAAAGCTGGGATATAAATCCGGGTTTCTCTGACTCTACAACGTATACCTCTCTCCAACTAAACATGTATCTTTAGATTTGCGTTTATTTATTTTGAGTTGGAATCTCACTCTGTCACCCAGGTTGGAGTGCAGTGGCACGCTCACAGCCACCACAGCCTCAACCTGCTGGGTTCAGATGATCCTTCTGGTTCAGTCTTCCAAGTAGCTGGAACCACAAGCGTGCACTACCATGCCCAGCTAATTTTTTTGTTTGTTGTAGAGATGAGGTCTTACCAAGTTGCCCAGGCTGGTCTGAAACCTTTGGGCTCAGGCAATCCTCTCACCTCAGCCTCCCAAAATGCTGGGATTATAGGCGAGAGCCACTGCGCCCAGCCTTTTTTTTTCCCCAAAGAGACAAGATCTCATTATGTTACCTGGGCTGGTCTTGAATTCCCGGGCTCAAGCAATCCTCTTGTCTTAGCCTCCCAAAATGCTGGGGTTGCAGGTGTGAGCCACCACACCCAGGCATCAGCTAATTTTTTTTTTTTTGGAGTTGGAGTCTCACTCTGTCATCCAGGCTGGAGTGCAGTAGCATGCTCATGGCCACCTTAGCCTCAGCCTGCTGGGCTCAGGGGATCCTTCCGTCTCAGCCTTCCTAGCAGTTGGAACCATAGGTACATGCCACCACAGTTGGGTAATTTTTTTATTTATTGTAGAGATGAGGTCTCACCAAGTTGCCCAGGCTGGTCTCGAAATCCTGGACTCAGGCAATTCTCTCTCCTTGGCCTCCCAAAGTGCTGGGATTACAGGCTTGAGCCATTGCGCCCGGCCTAATTTTTGATTTTTTGTAGCAATGAGGTCTCACTATGGTGACCAGGCTGATTTTGAACTCCTGGGCTCAAGCAATCCTCTCACCTCAGCCTCCCAAAGTGCTGGGATTACAGGTGTGAATCACCATACCTAGCCAATAATTTCAGTTTTTGTGTGTGTGTGGTTTTTTTTGGGGGGGTTGGAGTCTCACTCTGTCACTCAGACTGGAGTGCAGTGGCCGCTCCTGACCACTGCAGCCTCGACCTGCTGGGCTCCGGCGATCCTTCCGCCTCAGCCTTCCAAGTAGCTGGAACTACAGGCGCGCGCTACCACGCCTGGCTAAGTGTGATTTTTTTTTTGTTCTGAGAATGACTGGTACCACTTTGCATTCTTCCTCTTCAACTATATTGTAGGTTTTTTGTTGTGTTTATCTTTATAACCTTGGTATGAAGTATAGTGTCCTGCAAATGGATATTTGCTTAATTAATAATGCTGACTGGCTAAATAAATTAATAAAGGTGGCAAGAAAAAGATGATGCAAAAGAAGGAGAAAGAAGAGCTTTAGGTCGTCTCAATGTCCATGAGGACATTCACCAAAAGAAACCTAGCATCTAAGAGAAAAAGCAAAGCTAAAACAGCCAGATCTATTTTTGTGCAGTTATAGTCTTTTTTTTTTTTTTTGAGTTAGGAATCTTACTCTGACACCCAGACTGGAGTGCAGTGGCACAATCATGGCTCATGCAGCCTCATCCTCTGGGTTCAGGCAATCCTCCCACCTTAGCCTCTGAGTAGCTGGGACTACAGGCACATGCCACCATGCCTGGCTAGTTGCTTTTTTTTTTTCTTTTTTTTTGTAGAGACAAGATCTCATTATGTTGCCCAGGCTGGTTTCAAATTCCTGGCCTCAAACAGTCCTCCCACCCTGGCCCCCCAAAGTGCTGAGATTACAAGCATGAATCATTGTGTCCAGCGTGTTACAAACTTTTTAGAAAGTACTTCAGCAGCCGGGCTCAGTGGCTCAGCCTGTAATCCCACGCCTTTGGGAGACTGAGGGGAGGGGATTGCCTGAGCCCGCGGGTTCGAGACCCGCCTGGGCAACTTGGTGAGATCACATCTCTACAATAAATCAAAATGAGCCAGGCGTGGTAGCGCGCGCCTGTAGCTCCAGCTACTTGGAAGGCTGAGGTGGAAGGATCTCCGGAGCCCAGCAGGTCGAGGCTGCGGTGGCCTGGAGCGGCCACTGCACTCCAGTCTGGGTGACAGTGAGACTCCAACTCAAAAAAAAATAAAATAAAATAAAATAAAAATTCACAGACAGGAGGAAAGGGTGGAGACAGGCCTGGTGCCCATGGTTTTC